CCTTAAGAAAAATGTGTTTTCCTTCGAGACGGCGCGCCGACATCCATTTCCGGGTCACTGCCGGAGGATCGAGGAGTCGAGGACGCGAACATTTGAGAAATGACAAACGGCTAATTTCAGAGGACTCGAGACGACCGGCGACCCTCCCAGACAGGCGCAAAGACGCGAGGGCCCGTCCACAACTGCGCACGACTGTGACCGCAGTTTTAATTAGTTTTATTATTCAAATTTAAAATGTATTTTCAGTGTTTATGTATTGATCACATATATTTGTTTTTCTGTCTATAGCCATATTTATAAATGTATTTGGGAGTGTGTATGGATAGTCTTTATATATCATTTTGTATTTCTCTATGTTTAATTGTATTGTTTATATATATTTTATATATTTATGTTTATTATTTATGTGTGATGTTTATATGTCTAATTTTAGTCTTTTTTACATTAGGTTCTAACTTTTTTATATATTTGTTATATATTTAGTTTTATTGTTTAAACTTTTATTATCATCTGTTTTAAATATTATACGTTTTTATGCAGTTTTATTTTTTTTCAGTGTTTTTTTTATTTAAATGTTTAATTGTTAGTGTTTATATATGTAGTATATTTTGTATCCTTACCCAGGTTGAACCTATATTATTATTGTCTGCAGGTAGAGACTGTGAGCAGGTCAACCCGTGGGGCGAGTCCTCTCCGGACGACCACCGCTCAGAGGGACAGGGACGCCCCGGGACAGAAACAAACACACCTCCAGCTGCAGAGAGGAACCTTCTGACAGCACAGGGACGCCCCGGGACAGAAACAAACACACCTCCAGCTGCAGAGAGGAACCTTCTGACAGCACAGGGACGCCCCGGGACAGAAACAAACACACCTCCAGCTGCAGAGAGGAACCTTCTGACAGCACAGGGACGCCCCGGGACAGAAACAAACACACCTCCTGCCGCAGAGAGGAACCTTCTGACAGCACAGGGACGTCCCGGGACAGAAACAAACACACCTCCAGCTGCAGAGAGGAACCTTCTGACAGCACAGGGACGCCCCGGGACAGAAACAAACACACCTCCAGCTGCAGAGAGGAACCTTCTGACAGCACAGGGACGCCCCGGGACAGAAACAAACACACCTCCAGCTGCAGAGAGGAACCTTCTGACAGCACAGGGACGCCCCGGGACAGAAACAAACACACCTCCAGCTGCAGAGAGGAACCTTCTGACAGCACAGGGACGCCCCGGGACAGAAACAAACACACCTCCTGCCGCAGAGAGGAACCTTCTGACAGCACAGGGACGTCCCGGGACAGAAACAAACACACCTCCAGCTGCAGAGAGGAACCTTCTGACAGCACAGGGACGCCCCGGGACAGAAACAAACACACCTCCAGCTGCAGAGAGGAACCTTCTGACAGCACAGGGACGCCCCGGGACAGAAACAAACACACCTCCAGCTGCAGAGAGGAACCTTCTGACAGCACAGGGACGCCCCGGGACAGAAACAAACACACCTCCAGCTGCAGAGAGGAACCTTCTGACAGCACAGGGACGCCCCGGGACAGAAACAAACACACCTCCAGCTGCAGAGAGGAACCTTCTGACAGCACAGGGACGCCCCGGGACAGAAACAAACACACCTCCAGCTGCAGAGAGGAACCTTCTGACAGCACAGGGACGCCCCGGGACAGAAACAAACACACCTTCAGCTGCAGAGAGGAACCTTCTGACAGCACAGGGACGCCCCGGGACAGAAACAAACACACCTCCAGCTGCAGAGAGGAACCTTCTGACAGCACAGGGACGCCCCGGGACAGAAACAAACACACCTCCAGCTGCAGAGAGGAACCTTCTGACAGCACAGGGACGCCCCGGGACAGAAACAAACACACCTCCACCTGCAGAGAGGGGTATCTGATGTAGCGTCTACTAATTTAAATAATGTTTCACTGACAGATTAACATAACATCATAACACAGAATATAGATGTGTGAAATGGGTTAGTACTACCTTTATTATATAATAATAATATAATAATAATTATTCATAAGAACAAAGAGCAAACATTGTTAAATAAATAAATAAGGTAAGGGTGACCCTTTATGTTATTATAAAATGTGTTTATTTGGCATATGATACTATAATAACTGATATTAAATACATTGATAATTATACATAAGCACTGGATGGAAATCAACGGCAATAATAGGAAATTAATAAATAAATAATTTCAAGCAGATTTCCACATGTCTTGGTACTTCCTGTTTAAATGTAATTGCTATTACTTTGCATAGCCTCGCCAGCTCTATCAAACTTTACTGACAAAATAAACAGTTTTTAAGCTTTTAACTGAACTGTTAAGTTGTCACAGTTGTTTGGAGCTGCTGCCGGGTCTGCTTAAAAAAACACGACAACAATCTTTTTATAATTCCCCTCACTGCCTGAACGTAGACACAGGTCCGCACTGTCTGACCACAGGGGGTTAAACAATAGCTACGGTTTATTAGCTAAATAGCAATAAGTGGTGGTGCACCAGGAGCTACAGTGCGGGCCGCCAACAGCAATGTAAGATAGTGTTGGTGTTTCGGGTCAGAGCCGGATCCCAGCTGAATATTATCCCACACTCAGATCACTGAACTGGTAGCTTGCTAGTATTATATAGCATCTTCTTTCACTCATACAAACTTTGTTATTGTTTAGAGTGTTTAACCTGTTAAGCCCCGAGCCTGTTTTTCAGGTCTCAGGCTCGAAAATGACATGCCCAGAACAAATTACTATATCTTCACTTCTAAAAAGGGAAATCAATAATCTTTTTTCTCAAAGCAAGGTTACATCTGTGAGTTGGATGTAGAAAAGTGAGAATCAATATAGATGTTTTTATTTTAAAGTAAATTCAGATTGAACAAAAAAACATTACTTATAGTGAAAACCACCCTTGAATGATGGGATCGGAGACTAAAAGCTTCAGGAATCCAAACTATAACATATAATAAGTACCCTGTATCAAGATTGATGCAAATCAAGTGACATTTGACCTTTTTAGAGAGGTTTAGGAAAAGAAAACCACTTCTGGGGTAATTTGCCATATCTCTGGAACCCAGTGGTCGATTTTGAACCGTTAGAGCCAATAGAATCGAGGGGGGGTTCCTAAATCCACCTACACGTTACCATTGATAAGTGAGAGTGATGCGCAGCCAGCATGCCTAAACCGAAAGCTATGTTACACTCTGAAAACTGAAAACGGCTCATTGCCATAAATATGATGATGGATTATCAGTAATCATTTCAAAGGGACACAGAGACATTGGATTAACCTTCAGCACCGTTTATCTAAGTTGTAATGCCATTGAACAGAACTTTTGATCAGAACACAGCAAAGGTAAGACGTATTACACTTAGATCGTTGTTGAATTAGATGAGCTTTATTCAATGGTCCAGACGACATACAAACAGGAGGACACATTTCTTCGCTTCATGGTAAAATAAAATGATCAGTCTCAAAAGGAACATAAAGAACACGGTCAAAAGACTTTTCCGCTTCCCCGTCCCATCACCATCAGCTGTGTCCAACAACCTACCATATATAGGCATATACCCATGCACGTGAGACTGACGCACATATCATAACAAATAAGTGATCCTTAAATTAATACATTTTAAACCATAGTGTGACTCACAACAATACCTGATAATTAAGAGTTTAATCTAATTTATATTATTATTAAGCCTAACATTGAGACAATAAAAACATAATGAAAATGGCTCTAACATACCAGCCCCTAATTGCTTATTACATAGCAATTACCAATAATAATATATCAACAGAGTCATTTTAACAAAACATATAACATCCATCCGGAGCATATTTGTATACTCAAGTCCATAGTATATTGTATACTTTCAAGTCCATGTAAGACCAGTACTGAGTGTGTAGGTCTAGTACTAATTGTCTGTAATGGGGTAGGAGACCAAGAGTCTAGTCCTTTGGTCTAACAGTCAGAGGTGCACGTGACTGAAAGGCTAAGGCTTAGTAGGCTCAGTCTGTTGCCTCCAGGAGCAGACACAACTTAGTTATGGGTCTTTCAATGGTACTAGTCTTGGTTTGAACCAGGACACTCCTAACAAGTCCTTTTGAACCAGGAAGGGTCTTAACTACACGTCCCAGGAGCCAAGTGTTCCTCGGTGCGTTCTCAACGATGACGACCAGGTCTCCGGGGGTGAAGTTTCTTTTGATAGTATTCCAGTTGGGCCGTTCTTGCACCAAAGGAAGGTATTCCCTGGTCCAGCGCTTCCAAAACAGGTCAGCAAGGTATTGCACCTGCCTCCTGGCTGAAGAGTTAGCAGCTGATAGCCAGTAACGTTGAAGGAGTTTGGAGGGCATGTGACCTGAGTGACCAACTTGATGATGTATGCGGCTTAGTATCAACTTGGAAATATGAGAATGTTTAAGTAGAATCATTGGATGTTTGACCTCAGTTGGCATCCTCTGCCTTTATAGTGTTCCAGTTGAGAGCTTTTCCCATATATGCGTTTGCTATCTTGAGTACATCTCCAAAAAGCACCTTTAGCAGTCTCTTAGCTTCAGCAAAGCCACTGTTAGCATCCATATGAAGGCAGCTTCTCACCAGTTCCCTGCAGGATCCCGAAGTATATTGTTCCAGGTAATATAATCGATCCTGGTTACTGGTGGTTTTCTCCTCAATGCCATGTTGAAATGCCCTCATAAATATTTGATAATTCAGGGGATTGCCATCAAAAACTGGGATTTCCCTGCTGGGCAGTGATGTTTGTTTTTGTTGAAGTCCAAGTAAATTAACAATGTCATTTTGTCTCTGCATCACAGTCAGGAAATTGTTATTATACATTATTATTTGTCCCTGTAATTCCTGCTTCTCTAGCTGTGTGTTGAGGGCTTTGGTTTGTATTACCAATATTTTCTGGTGGTCTGGGTTGTTGGTATAGAAGCCTTTGAAGTGGTGTTTTGGGAATAGGTCCAAACTCAGCAAAGGTAATTGGAGACGGCTCTGCATCCATTGACATATCTGATTTTACTCTGTAGCTTTTTAAATAGTCATTCATGCCATCATATTTAGCTCGTGTTGGATTTTGTGAACCAGTCTCAAAATGCTCCAGGACTTTCATGTTTGCATCAGATTCAGCTAGGCTCACTTCCATTTCCATTCGTTCGGATCTAGCTTGCAGTTGAGCCTTTTCCATTTCAAATGCATGCTTTTATTTTAATCCTGCTGCCCGGGCAGGGAGGGCAGCTCTTTCTGTGGCCACTTTGAGGTGGGTTGAGGAAGCAGAAGAAGTTGCTGATCCTGCTTTTGAACCAGGTGAGCTCCTCCTGGCTGATGCATTGGACACACTATCATGGGGTTCAATCAGTGTCTGAGGATCCTTTTGAGAGCTTTTCCACATTTCCACATCCTGAAAGAAATTCATGAATGCAGACATGTTTGGTTCATACCAATCCATTCTCTCAGTTTCCCTGATTTCCTCAGATAAAAGCCTTTGAACAAGTCCATGACACTCCATCAATTCATTGAGTAACATCTTGAACGTTGCAACAGCTTCATCCACCTTTTCCATATTTCCACCTCGCACCAGTAATGGTTTAATTTCATTCATTCTGCGGGTGCATGCTCCAAGTTTTCCTCTTCGCGATTGGCTGAGAGTTTTAAATCTCTCCTCTGCTGCCGCAACATCAGCTGGAGGATTATCAGGATCCATTGTTTCTTTTTCTTTAATTAATCCACATGAAATAAAGTCATTAATATTTCCAAGAACAGTTCTTCGTGAATCCTGTTTTTGTGCCAAACATTCCTTTAACGTCCGCTCGCTGTTTCCAAAGCAGAGCTGAAATCCACACGAATCCTGTGCTTGTCCCTCGAAGTTTAATCCACAGCTTGCGTAGTCTTTTGACTAAATGTGGTGGCGTTTTAATCCTAGTCTACATTTAATAGCCACCTCTGTCGGGGTTGTGGGTTTTGACGCGCCTCTCTTTGTTTCCAAACAATTCAGCGGAGATTGTTGAATTAGATGAGCTTTATTCAATGGTCCAGATGACATACAAACAGGAGCACATTTCTTCGCTTCATAGTAAAATAAAGTTATCCGTCTCAAAAAGAACATAAAGAACACGGTCAAAATACTTTTCCGCTTCCCCGTCCCATCACCATCAGCTGTGTCCAACAACCTACCGTATATAGGCATATACCCATGCACGTGAGACTGACGCACATATCATAACAAATAAGTGAGCCTTAAATTAATACATTTTAAACCATAGTGTGACTCACAAAAATACCTGATAAGTGAGAGTTTATTCTAATTGATATTATTATTAAGCGTAACATTCAGACAATAATAACAAAAGGAAAATGGCTCTAACACTCTAGATCTGAGTTCCTGGCTGGTTCTGGTCCTCCACAGTCCTCTCCATCAGCTTCTGTTTCCAGGTGTTCAGCTGAGCTGCTGGCTGGAGGCTCGGCCTCTCTGTTCTCCTCAGTTTGATGAAGCTGTGAGGACTGACGACCAACACACTTATGGAATTTGATATGATGACTCCGGTTGAATCTTTTGTCACAAACACTGCAGCTGTATGGTTTCTCTCCTGTGTGGATTCTCATGTGTTTCTTTAAATCTCCAATCCCTGCAAAACATCTCTTACAAATTGAGCAGCTGTATGGTTTCTCTCCTGTGTGGACTCTCATGTGCTTCTTTAAATCTCCTCTCTCTGTAAAAGATTTCTTACAAATTGAGCAGCTGAATGGTTTCTCTCTTGTGTGGAGTCTCATGTGTTTCTTTAAATATACTCTCTGTGCAAAAGATTTCTCACAAATTGAGCAGATGAATGGTTTCTCTCCTGTGTGGATTCTCATGTGTTTCTTTAAATCTCCAATCCCTGCAAAACATCTCTTACAAATTGAGCAGCTGTATGGTTTCTCTCCTGTGTGGACTCTCATGTGTTTCTTTAAATCTCCTCTCTCTGTAAAAGATTTCTTACAAATTGAGCAGCTGAATGGTTTCTCTCCTGTGTGGAGTCTCATGTGTTTCTTTAAATATACTCTCTGTGCAAAAGATTTCTCACAAACTGAGCAGCCAAATGTTTTCTCTCCTGTGTGGATTCTCATGTGCCGATTTAAATTTCCTCTCTGTGTAAACGTTTTCTCACACAAAGAGCAGCCAAATGTTTTCTCTCCTGCACTACGTCTTGAATCACTGACAGGGTCTTGTTTATTTCTCTGAGAGTTTGAACCTGGTTCTCTGGTCTTCTTCCAATCAGCCCTGTCTTCAGTGTCAGGTTCAGAAGAGTTTTCAGTGTCAGGTTCAGAAGAGTCTCCAGGGTTGTCCTCAGTCTCAGGTTGTAAATGTCTCTCTGGATCTGAGTTCCTGGCTGGTTCTGGTCCTCCACAGTCCTCTCCATCAGCTTCTGTTTCCAGGTGTTCAGTTTGTCTTTGATGAAGCTGAGAGGACTGAGGTTTCTCTTCATCATCTTCACTCTTCACAGGGACAGGAGTGAATGTGGACTTGGTGATATCAGCCTCCTCCAGCCCTTGAAGCTGCTCTCCCTCCTGACTGATCCAGAGTTCCTCCTGCTCCTCTTTAATGTGTGGGGGGGGCTCTGGGTCCTCCTGCTCCAGACTGGAGCTCCACTCCTGCTGCTCAGGGGGAACCTCTTCTTTAACCACCACCAGCTGCTGGACGTCTGCAGGAAACAGGAAACACATATTCAGAGAAACTGTGGAGTACTATAATTTAAAATCTTACCACGAGTAACACTTCTTTAACTTTGCAGCCCTTATCCAATCCATATTTTAAATGCTTTTCCAGATGCCCTGGAGAGTTTCAGGACAACAGGTGAGTTAGTACTGTCGCTGATCTAAAACGTAGTTTCACTGCCGCTTAGCAAGGCGTCGGCCGTTCACGGAGTGTGAGGGCTTAGCCTTACAGTTTGTGACCTGTCTGCAGAGTCGTTAGCTGAGAACTGGTGTTGGAGTTTCTCAGAGTAGTCGTTTAGCATCTCTCACCGCCTTGCTAAACCTGTACTTGGACTCAAACAGGTGCATCTCAATAAATTGGATATCATGGAAAAGTGAGTTTATATCAGTAATTCAATTTATAAAGTTTAAACTCATACATCACATAGATTCATCAGATACAAAGGGATTATTTCCAGCGTTTTAATCTTGATGATTGCGGTTTACAGCTAATGAAAGCCAAAATTCAGCATCTCAGAAAATGTGAATATAACATAAGACCAATGCAAAAACTGATTTTTTAATAATATAGAAATGCTGGCCTTCTGAAAAGTATGTTAATGTTCCTGCTGTCAGTACTTGGTTGGGCTCCTTTAGCATGAATAACTGCATCAATGCGGCGTGGCATGGAGACTATCAGTCTGTGGCACTGCTGAAGTGTGATGAAGCCCAGGTTGCTTCACTAGCGGCCTTCAGCTCGTCTGCATCGTTGGGTCTCGTGTGCCTCCCCTTCCTCTCGACAATACATAGAATCTCACCAATAATAATTCTCCAAATTCTGACTTTTTCCCAAAATGTTGACTTTTTCTAAAATGCTGCAAAGTCAGCAACATTCTGACTTTGTTTCTCAGAATCCTGACTTTTTTCTGGAAAACTCAGAATAATTACGTTTTTCTCCAAAGTCTGACCTTTTTCTAAAATGCTGAATTTGTCAGAAAATCTCAAAATTCTGACTTTTCAGATAACCTCAGAATTTTGACTTATTTTTTGAAACCACACAATTCTGAATAATTTTCTCAAAATCCTGACTTTTTCCCCAAATGCTGACTTTTTCTAAAATGCTGAATTGTTCGTAAATCTCTATAATCTGGCCTTTTCAGAAAACCTACGAATTTTGACTTTTCATTCAAATAAAATAAATTCATTATTTTCCTGACTTTTTTTCTCAAAATCTTCCCTTTTTCCAAAAAACATCAACATTTAGACTTTTTTACGCAAATCTCATAATAACTTATTTGTCCAAATCCTGACTTTTTTCTAAAATGCTGAATTTTTCAGATAACCACTTCTTACAACCAAGGTTTGCACAAGACCATTTCTGCTGCGACATTCAGGCGGTAGGGTCAGAAGACATGAGAGCATGGATCCATCCTGCCTTGTATCAACGGTTCAGGCTGGAGGTGGTGGGGTAACGGGGGGGGGGGGATATTTTCTTGGCATACTTTGGGCCGCTTACTACCAATTGATCATCGTCTAAACGCCACAGCCTACCTGAGTGTTGTTTCTGACCATGTCCATCCCTTTATGACCACAGTGTACCCATCTTCTGATGCTACTTCCAGCAGGATAACGCCCCATGTCACAAAGCTCTAATAATCTCCAACTGGTTTCTTGAACAAGGCAATGAGTTCACTGTTCTCCAATGGCCACAGTCACCTGATCTAAATCCTATAGAGCCCCTTTGGGATGTGGTGGAAAGAGAGATTGGAATCAGCCGACAGACCTGCCAAAATCTCTGAGGAGTGTTTCCAGCACCTTGTTGAGTCTATGCCACAAAGAATTAAGGCAGTTCTGAAGGCAAAAAGGGGGTCCAACCCCTTCTAATCAAAAACTGTATAATTACTGCAGAAATATGAAAATGGTGTCAAATAGAGCGTCAGATGGCAGAGACAGCAATAAAGAGTCTAAATAGTTGGAGAGAGTGAATAAAGAGATAGTAAAGAGGGAACAGACCTGCTCTGTGGATCTGAAGCTGAGGCTGTAAAACAGCGTCCAGTAGTTTCCGGCATCTCTCGTTCTCCTGTTTTGAACGAGACAGTTCCTCCTCGTACTCTGCTATCGTTCTTTCAAACAGAACAAAGATGTCTTCAGCAGCCGCAGTGAGTCGCTGCTTCACCAACGAGAGCAGCACAACACTCATGTTTACTAAATCACCACTTCCTGTAAGACACACTGTTTCTCCGTGTGCTTCAGTCTCTGTTAAACACACCGTTTCTCCGTGTGCTTCAGTCTCTGTTAAACACACCGTCTCTCCGTGTGCTTCAGTCTCTGTTAAACACACCGTTTCTCCGTGTGCTTCAGTCTCTGTTAAACACACTGTTTCTCCGTGTGCTTCAGTCTCTGTTAAACACACCGTTTCTCCGTGTGCTTCAGTCTCTGTTAAACACACTGTTTCTCCGTGTGCTTCAGTCTCTGTTAAACACACTGTTTCTCCGTGTGCTTCAGTCTCTGTTAGACACACTGTTTCTCTGTGTGCTTCAGTCTCTGTTAAACACACCGTTTCTCCGTGTGCTTCAGTCTCTGTTAGACACACTGTTTCTCTGTGTGCTTCAGTCTCTGTTAAACACACTGTTTCTCCATGTGCTTCAGTCTCTGTTAAACACACTGTTTCTCTCTGAAGCTTCCTGAGCTGCTGTTCAGCTGGACGGCAGGAAGCAGAGGTTTGGGAGGATGATGTCCCTGATGCTGTTTAGATTTCTCCAGCACCATGGGGGGTCCTGTGTGGATGGCAGCTCCTTCCTCAGCAGATCCAGTTCTCCAGAATTGTCCTAATCACAAGGAAAACAAGAGAAAGAAAAAATGAATTAATAAACACAGGGTTGCAAAATGATGATTGCAAAATGTAACGCAGCATTACAGACAAACCATCCCTAAAGGATTACTTAAAATGACGTACTGTTTTGGTTTTAAAAATGTCTATATATCCAAAACATGTCTCTGAAGTGTTTTTCTCAAAATACCAAACAGATCACTTTTATACCCATGCCTCATACCCCTCTATTTCAGCCCTGTTAGAAAAGTGCTGATTCTGGGTCTGGCGATTTAAATGTAACTGAGCTGCTGGCCACGCCCCTTTGGAGCTGCTGCTGGCCACGCCCCTTTGGAGCGTCCGCATGCAATCAGTGAGCTCTGTGAGGAGAAGGCTGTCTACCAGCAGAAACTCAGCTAAACGCTGCCGTGATTAAATGCCATATCATGTTCCAAACCACATCAAGCATCATTTCGGAAACAGTATGGAGCTCAAAACGCTTTCTCTCTCGAGGGTGAGTTATTTTTTATTTCCTGCTTCTTTACACAGCGATGCTTGCTAATGTAAACACAGACCATAATACTTCCAAAACACGTCTGTTGTGGCAAATCAACCCTCACAACGGGAAGGAATGAAACAGAGAGGAATCAATAAAACACAAACACAGACACAGTTGAAATCAATCATTATTATTTAGCTGCGCAACACCAAACAACAATGGGGAAACATTACCTGCTCTCAAGCAATCATACAGCAATGCTCCCACCCAGTAGAACTTTACAGAGACATGTTTAACGCACACACATTTTATCATGTAGCCAACCACACAAACCGTCACATGTTTTTCCCTCTGAATGCCACACTTGTATATGTTGAAAAGTCAGCATCTCATGACATCCTTAGGAGTAGTAAACTAACAAAAGTGAACTGTTTTTATAACCTGAGGCCTTCGCTGAACTTCCTCTACACTGTAAAAAAAAAATGGTAAAAAACCTGACATTTTCTGGCGACGGGGGCGCCAGAAAATGTCCGTTAAAAAAAGGAAAAAAACTGTAAAAGAAAATACGGAGATAACATGTAAAAAAAAAAAGTAGCCTAGTCATAAACCTCTAGAAAACTGAATAATTATCTTTAAAAAATGATAAAAAAAAGCTAAAATACATAAAATTACTTTTATTATTACAAAAAACTACCGTGTATCTAAGACCATTTACCATTAAAACACAAAGAAAAGAATGTCATTTTACTTTGCAAAAGCCTTAGTTTACATTAACTATCAAATTTGGTAGGACCAGAAACGTTTTTAAGCTTCTTCTTGCCCCTTTTGAACATGATAGAAACTTTGAGAATACCTTTTTATACCTTGAACGTTTTTTTATTTTGCCCATCTTTGTTATAATTATTATTGTTTCTTTTGTTTCTAACATGTTCAATAAATTGACTAATACAATTTTGTTTTTAAAGAGCCGCTATTTTGGTGATGGTGTTAGTGTGATGAGTCCATGTCAGGTCCTCAGTGATGAGTCAGGTCCTCAGTGATGAGTCAGGTCTTCAGTGATGAGTCAGGTCTTCAGTGATGAGTCCATGTCAGGTCCTCAGTGATGAGTCCATGTCAGGTCTTCAGTGATGAGTCCATGTCAGGTCCTCAGTGATGTGGACCCCGAGGAACCTGTAGCTGCTGATTCTCTCCACCGTAGTCCCATTGATGGCGATGGGGGCGTGTCCCTCTCTCTGCTGCTTCCTGTTATCCACAATCAGCTCCTTGGTTTTGCTGACGTTGAGATGGAGGTTGTTATCCTGGCACCAAGATGTCAGGTTTTCGACCTCCTCTCTGTACGCCGTCTCGTCGCCGTCGGTGATCAGGCCGATGACGGTCGTGTCGTCAGCAAACTTCATGAAATCTAAGACCATTTACATGTAAAACACAAAGTAAACATGTCATTTTACTTTGCAAAAGCCCAAGTTTACATTAACTGTCCGATGTTTTTGTAGAAAAAAAATCACAAATATATATATATATACAATATATTATTGAAAATAATAATATACATCACAAAAATAAAAACAATAAATAAAATATATTTTAAGTAATAATAAAGCAGAATAGACCGGCAATGAAACATTTCAACATTTAACAATAGCCAACATTTTGTTCAAAAGATAACAATTATAAACACTAAAGAAATCTACCAGTTATGTGCGTGCGTGTGTACATGACTGTGTGCTTCAACTCTCTCCATTCAAAGTCAGCGACGTTTGTAATTAATGAATGCACCTTTATCTTTATCGAGTGCTGTTTTTGTTTGTATTCCTTCCTCTCCACTCTGTTAAGACAGAAGTACACTTACATTTAGTGTTTAATTACAAATGATGTGGATGATACAGCTATTAATTGTCTTTACAGGTATACAGCTTGAAGTCAAAGGGCAATGCTACTCTTCAATGTACTTTTCATTAACTGTTATGATCATATCTGTGCATTTAAAGCATTGGTTTGAATAGATTTTGTTATATAAAGTCGTCACTTGGCATCACTATCACACTGGACAGTATCGCAGCAGGTCTGTAAACAGGAGCAAGCGGTCACTTGAAGATCATTTGAATGTGGGTAGCTACGAGTGCCATCTTGAGAGTGTGTAACTGGGGCAGATGAGGTGCGTGTCAGCAGCAGAGTGAGCGGTGTAAAAGCATCGTAGTTAACCGAAAGAAGTTTTAATGTGTTTGTTCACTGCAATAATACCAGGTTCCGGTGCCCATCCCATTTCGGTGCAAGAAATAGTTGCGTCTTCCTCGTCAGATTCCATTGTCATCAGGTGCTGACACTCACGCTAAGCCTTTACTTGGTGGTACAAGTACAACATTATAATTATACTTGTGTGTTTCTCTGTTATAGACCACACACATACACTAAACCTGCTCCATGGCTGTATTACTCTGCTGTTGTGTTGATATGAATAAGTTAAGGAAATCAACCGCTACCAAGAATCTTGTGTGTTCTTACCAACACCTCAAAGTGTACGTCACTCAGAGTGAAACCTTCCCCTATACAGTCCTACCTGAATCCCTATTCAATAGGACTCCTTGAAAACAATTCCTTTTTCCAAATAACTGAAAAGGTTTTCTTTTGTTGTCGACAAAAGGCTCTCTTTCCGTCATTTTCATTGAGCTGAAATAAACATACCACCGATTGGCTAAGAGTGAGTTTGGGCTTTTAGGGAGGAGCCAAAGCACACCACTGCAAAGGAAAGGGGTACGCTGAATTTACAACCCAAGACAAAACGAGAGCATAATGCGAAACAGAATGCAGCACAATCATCTTTTTATCTGGATTATCTTGTATTGTCAGGAGCGCTTATCGTGTCTCAGAAATGTGCACAAACCTCTACTCTGTGGTTTAAGATGGAATGACTTCATCATTACAATTCAAGTCTTACCTCTGCAAGAACTCCAGGGTAGCTCCCAGTTCTGAGCGATAACTGATGTTGAGGCAGTAATATGCTGCAAACATCAGCATCAGGGCGTCGACAACATTCAGGACACTGCCACTGACGATGGTCTGGTCCTCTGCTATCATGTAGTGTCCAGCTGTCTGGGGAGAACTCCCTTAAGGTACACAACAAAGGAAAAAGTCACAAAAAAATTATAAATCCAAAAAATATTTTGTGCAGATTGTTTATATATTTTTTTACTGGTGATCACATGGCCAATTGTATTTTAGGAATGATCAGCTCCTGCAGCTTTCTTTTCTTTCTTAAGTGTTTCCTAATGTTAACAGTGTAGAAAATGTCACATCATAAAGGGATAGTTTGGGTGTTTAAAGTGGGGTTGTATAAGGTACTTATCCATAGTCAGTGTATTACCTAGAGTAGATGATGGCCGGTATGCTCCGAGCTTGGAGATTCAGACAGGAGCAACCACCTGGAAGCAAAGCAATGTACTGCTCTGGACAGGGTCAGCAGAAAAACATATTTTAGCCACCTCTTAATGATTTCCATATCCTTTCACTGTTTGCATAGCAATACCACATAGGACATGTGACATTCCACTTTTTTTTCTCTCTCACTTTATGTTAGAACTATTTTTCTTTTTGTATTACTTTTACTATCTGTATTATTATGTTGCATTGTTGGAGAAGCCTGTGACATAAGATTTTCAACGACATAATTACTCTGTAGCTATGTTAGTTTGACAATAAAGAACCTTGAACCTTGAGAGAATTGATAAAACTTGTAATATGGCAAGAAATCTTACTTGAGGATCTCTGGCTGCTGGTAGCCAACGATGCTGGTACTGCAGCTAACAGCTGAGGGGAAAAAAGAGACACAAGTTTGCACATGCTTGGGTAAAAATAACTTGAATAACACAGCAGCAGCTTTAAGTACAGTAATACCACTTTAACTGAGATTTTATACACAGATTATCGGCTTTACAATTAGGAATAACAGATGATTTTAGCAGTCAGAAGAATATCTAAAAAATAACTAAAGGAGCAGTGGTA